TAGCCTATGGAAGTATACTACACTCACAAACTTTGAAAATATGAGTGCTCACACTCCCTCCTCAATGATGTATGGTCTAATCCTGGGTACCGGGATTTACATAGGATACCTGAGTACATACTCTGTACAGGGTACATCCTCTGCAACCTATGTACCGGGAAGCCCAACCTGAACGTCCCAGTAATGAAGTGTGAAGTAACGCCAGCAGTAATGTCCGCGCTTCGTGCAAGTGCATGCAGGATCATTGTGCATAGTTCCACACTGATCCAATTTAGTGACGGGATAATCCGCAGCCGTCCAAAAGTGCCAACGACAAGCTTTGGACAAGTTTTCGAGGGAAATGCAGACAAATCCACCTTTGGACATCACTTGGACAAGATGTTGTCCAAATGAGGCTAGATGTCCTTTTGGACATGTCGACACGTATTTGTTGTCCAAAAAACCTGTCCAAAGATCAGCCATGGTGTTGCTTTCGACATTTCTTGTCCAAGTTGTACGTTATTGGGCGAGCGCCACTACGTTTTAAGTTGTCGAAACATAGCCCATGGGTTGAGTAATGGACACCTTGTCAACTGTTATACTTTGGACAAGAAAGTTGATGTGTCCAAAGAAGCGCTTACGGTAATTTATTACTATCTGCGCCATAAACATAGCTAACACAGTAGAGGGGACGCTTTAAGCCTTTAGCTTCACCTTACCAGCAACCCTTCCACAAGGCCACTCAGCAGCGAAATTGAGAAAAACAATGTCTGGCAGCGATTTGGATCAACTTTCTATTAACACCATCCGGTAAGTCCTCACCCCAAAGCGTTTTCCTTCAAAAATTTCCCATTGTGTTCGTCAGATGCACCGCAGCAGAGATGGTTCAGAAGGCCAAGTCTGGTCATCCAGGTGCCCCTATGGGCTGTGCCCCTATGGGTCATGCCATTTATGCCCACGCTATGAAATATAACGCTGCCAACCCCCAGTGGTGGAACAGGGATCGCTTCGTCCTCTCCAATGGCCACGCCTGTGCTTTGCAGTATGTGCTTATGCATCTTGCTGGTTACAAGGATGTCGATATGGAGCAGCTGAAGAACTCCGTCAGTGGGTTCTAGGACGGCTGGCCATCTGAGCGAGAGCTCTTGGAAGGTGTGGAGGTCACTACTGGCCCTCTTGGTCAGGGCATCTCCAACGCTGTTGGTCTTGCTATTGCTCAAGCTAACCTTGCTGCTACTTATAACCGTGAGGGGTATGAGATCTTCAACAACTACACATACACTATCTGTGGTGACGGTTGCCTCGAGGAGGGTATCAGCTCCGAGGCATGTGCTCTTGCTGGTCACTATGGCCTTGGCCGCCTCATCCTGCTCTATGATGATAACCATATCACCATTGATGGTAACACGGACATTGCATTCACTGAGGACATCACTAAGAGGTTCGAAGGTATGCAGTGGCAGGTCCTTGAGGTCGCTAAGGGCGATACTGATCTCTCTGACATCCTTGCCAAGATTGAGGAGGCCAAGAAGTGCACTGACAAGCCTACCATCATCAAGGTCCATACCACCATTGGTTATGGCTCGGCCAAGCAGGGCACGTCCAAGGTCCATGGGTCTCCCTTGGGTGACGAGGATCTCGCCAATGTGAAGAGGGAGTTTGGCTTCGACCCTGAGAAGCACTTCGAGATCCCCGCTGAGGTCCGCAGTCTCTACCAGAGCGCCCTTGCTCGCGGAGAGAAGGCCAACAAGGAGTGGGACGATCTTCTCGCTAAGTTCGCCGAGGCTTACCCTGCTGAATATGCTGAGCTCGTCAGACGCTTCAAGGGAGAACTACCCATTGATTTGGACGAGTGCATTCCCAAGTATCAGCCTGGTGACAAGGCGAAGGCCACTCGTGTCACCAGTGGCGAGGTGCTTGCTGCTCTCATGAAGCGCCTCCCTGAGATCGTTGGAGGGTCAGCTGATCTGACTGCCTCCAACATGACCAATATGGGCAAATACCCCGTCATGCAGAAGGGTGCCATGCAGAACCGCTACATGGAGTTCGGTATTCGCGAGCACGGTATGGCTGCTATCTTGAATGGTATGCACGCCTATGGTGGCTTCCTTCCCTTCGGAGCCACCTTTGTCAACTTCATAGGCTACTGCTGGGGTGCTGTCAGACTCTCATGCCTCTCGAAACAACAGGTCCTCTATGTCATGACCCATGACTCCATC